GCTGGTGGGGATCTTCCGGTTCTCCCCTGTGGTCCGTTCTGGGGGGTGGGTGAGTGGTTCGTCCTGTGTGGGTGGCTCTGGGGGCTCCGCGGTCGGGGTCCCTCCTGGGGTCTTGGGCTCTGGTCCCCCCTTTTTCGTCTGCCTCTGGTCTTGGGGGTCAGGTCTCTGCTGCTTCACAGTTACTATTAAATGTTCTATTAGAGAAGCCTTATACACTTATGCATGCTCACAACCACACACAAATAGAAGCAGGGATGCTTATGTAGGCTTTAAATGTAGATATATAGATATGTATGTGAGTGTATATTCATGTGTATGTATGTATGTATATAGGCGTAGGTATGGGCATATATATTTATGGAAACTTACTGCAAAGCCATGAATATTTTAAGTTCTTTATACATATGTATTTTGTTGCTGTGTTTTGTCATGTTCTTTGCAGGTGAACAGACAGTGGCCGGGTGTTTTGCCGTGTGCTCTCTTTGTGTATATTTCTTATATTTTGGAGTCTTACTTTGTCTTTTCTTTCTTTCTATCCTTTAAAAAAAAAAAAACAACCCTACACTAGATAATCACTAGAATAAATATTTCATAATAATGGTGTGGAGAGGATGGCTGTAAGGGGAGAAGGGAGGCTGAGACTCATCCTCAACTTATCGTCGTGGTGCCAACTGATATTTGTTTCAAAAACTTGTACTTTCACTGTTGGAGTTAATTGTGTCAGTCTATTACCAAAACATCTCACAAACCTCCGAACTGATTTTGATTAAACTTTCAGAAAACAATCATTGGATATATGTCTACAACTGATTCTCTTACAAAGTCAACCCAATTCAAGATGGCTACCAGAGCCAAAGTGGAATTAGGAAAAGTCAAAACTGATTATACCTTAGTCAGTTTTACAGATATTGAGCTCAAATGTGGTGTGGTAGTTTCTGAAAGCTATTTAAAATATAAAATCTAGGAACTATTGAGCTTATCTTTGCATAAAACTTGGGTAATATCTATTAAAATAAGAATTGTTTATCTATTAATTATTTTCAACCACCTTTCTTTCTTTGTCATGGGGGTCGCTGGTGCCCATATCCAGTTGTCACTGTGCGAGAGACGTGGTACACCCTGGACAGGTCTTCAGTCCATCACAGAGACACATAGAGACAAACGAGACAAACAACCATTCACTCTCTCACTCACATCTAAGGACAAGAGTTAACAATTAGCCTAACATGCTTGATTTTGGTCTGTGGGAGGAAACTGAAGAAAACCCACACATCCATGAAGAGAACTCAGAAAGGTACTTCGATCCAGCAGCCTTCTTGCTAAGAGGCAACAGCTCTACCAACTGCACCACCATCTGTTGGCTAAATATATTCTGAACCACTGAACTAAATGTAATGAAACTCTCAGAACGTAATCACTGAATGAATCTACAACTGACTTTGAGTCAATGCAATTCAAGATAGCTGCCACAGCAAATCAGCCTTAGCCAACACAAAAATGGGTATAACACAATTTTACAGATGTTGAGCTAAATTTTGGATAAGGTTTGATGATTTTGAAATCATCTACAACCTTTATTTCTAAATCTATGCTAACTGATTTAGGGAGTTCCTGCAATGTTGATGAAACTGTGCGTGATGTGATTGGTTTTGACAGCATGCTACAACTTTGTACCTTCTCATCTCTTCTCATCTTTTTAGCAATGGCATAGAAGTTGGTGGGCAAAATGCATTCCTTTCAATTTTAAACCATCATTAGTCTCATCCTGTCATATGATGATATTCACCCTCTCTGTTATCTGAGACTGAGACCCTCTGTTTTTTATGTTTGAAGGTGTAAAGGAGCCTCCCATTATGGGCTGTCAACAGACAGGAAGCGACGCTCACAGGAGAGTGAGTGCACCGATAGTACATCAGAACTCACTATTGCCACGATGCCCAATGACGGCCCCACCTCTGCCGCTGTGGCTCTTCTATCAGATGAATCTGGCCTGGTTAACCCAGCTTTCGACCCCAGCATGGAGGACAACAGTCAGTCAGGCAGCATGACCAGCCTGGCCGCTCGCAGCAGCAACAAAAAGAGTGAGTGTGAACGAGAGAAGGGATGTCTCTGTGTGTGGTCATGTTCAGTTGTGAAATATATCACTGTTGTATGACTTAATGTAGTGCCATAATTAGAAACTTCTCAAAGAACTTTGTTTTAAAAAATGTAAATACATTTGTGGTGCTTATTCAACCCTGCATACAGTCTTTGTTCTATCTAATGGTCTCTGATGGAAATCCTATCAACCAATTAGCTCTGCTACCCTTTCCCCCCACAAATCCATAAAATGTCTCTTTGTGAGAAAAGGGAGAGAAACTTAAAGAGAAAGTCACAGAGAAAGAAAGTCATAGAAAAGACTAGCACACAGAAAAGGAAAAGTGTAAAGGAAAGCTGTAACAAGAGCCCGGTTAAAAACTGCTGCTGTGAGACATTCAAAATCCTTCCACCATTTGTCCCACCTGTGATATCATGAGGTAGTCATGAGTGTTCCTCTCCACCCTTCTACTGAAGCAAGTACCAAACGATGCTGCAGCAGCACTTTAGGCTTGGCCTGCTGAGCACCCACCACCATCACCGAGAGCACCGTAACTGCTGAACAAGCTGTCAGCTCTAGCAGCCGCTGGCGCTTTTTAAAGAATAATGTGGCTGTCAGGAGCCCTCGCATCTCCCTTGGCCTACAGAGGGAGGGAGTGGTGCTGCAGAGACTCTGTCCAGAGCAGCTGAGCCGGGCAGCTGCCTTCGCCACTGCATCCACCTGTAGTCCTGGAAGCAAAGTCCTGGGCAGGAGCCTCTGCAGGCAGGCTGGTTTGGACTTAGTCACTGGAGTCCATGTGTTCTTGAATTACATCACTACTTTAGTTGTGCAAGCATACTTCTATACACAGTCCTCAAGATTAGTTTATCATTCAAAGAGCCACCAGTTGAAAGTAGTGTCTTCATGCATAGGGGAAAAAAAGATGCTTTAACTGACCTTGTTAAAAGTTGTTTGGAAAGAAATGGAAGGGGTAGTCTAAAAAGAAAAGGAATGGGTCTTTTTTTTTTTTTTCAATTTAATGTAGTAAACATTTTAAAATGAACTATATTCTTATTTAAAACAGCAACACACTTTAGCTGTTGTAACATTACAGTGACACATGAGGTTTTTTGTTGTTTGAACTTAGTCACTTACCTTCTGATTATTGTAGCACATCACTCTGAACACGTGGTGCTTTGTAATACAAAGAAGCAGCTGGGAAGGCTCTGGCATCAAGTTAATTCCTCCAGGCATCAGTATTACTAAACAAGATTTAAGTTACAACAGTTATCGGATGTTCTTCTTTTTCTTCTTCTTCCTCTTCTTCTTCTTCTTCCACCCTTCCACCATCATACCCACTGTCCCTCCTCTTGATATGTCCAAACCATCTCAGTGTGTCCTCTCTAACTTTATCTCCCAGTTGTTCAACCTGTGCTGTACCTCTGATGATCTCATTCCTAATCTTATCCATTCTTGTCACTCCTAAGGAGAACTTCAACATCTTCATTTCTGTCTCTTCCAGTTCTTTCTCTTGTCTTTTTGTCCATGTCTCTGTCTGCAGTCCAGACCATACAATATAGCTGGTCTCACCACTGTCTTGTAAACTTTTTATTTGACCTTTGCTGCCACTCTTTTGTCATAAATCACTCCTGAACCTTTTCTCCATCCACTCCATCCTGCCTGGACTCACCTCTTTACCACATTCCCCATTATCCTGGACATTGGACCCCAAGGACTTGAAGTCCTGCACCTTTGTGACCTCTGCTCCATGTAGCCTCAGTATTCCACTGGCCTCCCTCTCATTCACACACACATGTACTCTGTCTTACTACAGCTGACTTTCATTCCTTTTCTTTCAAATGCATATCTCCACCTCTCCAAGTTCTCTTCCACCTGTTTCCTGTTCTCACCACAGCAATGTTATCTGCAAACATCACAGTCCATGGGGATTCCTGCCTGACCTCATCTGTTAGTCGGTCCATCACAGGAACAAAAAAGAAGGGGCTCAGAGCCGATCCTTGATGCACTCTCCTCCACCTTGAAGCTATCTGTCACTCCTGCAGCACATCTCACCACTGTCCTGCTGTCCTCATACATGTCCTGTACCAGTCTAAAACAGTTAGGCATTAAGAATGTACAGTATTTATTGTATGACTTCACCTAGTACCATATCTGCTATGTAGCAGTATTGTTATAATAATAATTATTATTATTATTAGTAGTAGTAGTAGTATTGTTATTATCATTATTATTATTATTAGTAGGAGTAGTAGTATTACATCCATCATCCATCCATTATTTTTATTTATTTATTTATTGTACTCTATTAATCCCCAGTGGGAAAGTTAATTATCTGCATTTTCTCCATTGCATATGTAAGCACACATGTGAAGCAGTGGGCTGCCATTTAGGGTGCCCAGGAAGCAGCTGGGGGGTGGGGGTTAAGGTCCTTGCTCATGGGCCCAGAGTGGGGCAGAAGAGGGTGGAGGCAGGCGTGGATGTTTCACTTTTTCCACCCACATTTTGACGTTGTCGGTCACAGGAGTTGAACCGGGGAGTTGACCGGCGACCCTCCGATCACAGGCTCACCCTCTCTAACCTCTGCACCACCACTTCCAATCTTTACCCGCTTCTTTCTTTTCAGGTCACGGGGGTCACTTGTGCTCATATCCAATAGTCATTGTGTGAGAGGCGGGGTACACCCTGGACAGGTCTCCTGTCCATCACAAGGACACATAGAGACAAATGAGACAAACAACCATTCACTCTCTCTCTCTCACCTAGAGACAATTTAGAGTTTTCAATCAGCCTAACATGCATGTTTTTGGTCTGTGGGAGGAAACTGGAGTACCGGGTGAAAACCCACACATCACAGAGAGAACATGAAAACTCCACCCAGAAAGGCTCCAGGTCAGGATTTGATCCAGCAACCTTCTTGCTGAGAGGCAACAGCTCTACCAACTGAGCCACCAATGCCACCTTATTTTTATTAATATTATTATTTTTGCAGTGAAGCCTGGTGATTGTAAGGATGACATCAGTGAATGCAGTGAGTTGCTTGATTTTCAAGTAACTGAGGTGAGGAATGATGGCACCAATTGAGAGTCAGAGTCAGAGATTCTTTATTGTCATTCGCACCTCATGTGGTACATGTGGTGGAGCGAAATTATGTACACAGGGTCCCAGTTACATCCAACAATAAAATGTAAAAGAAAAACAGTAATAACATCTAAGATATGAACTAAGAAAAACATCAACTAAATATACACTAAGCACTCATAACATAAAACATTGAACATCAGCACAAACATGAACATGAGTCTGTGAGCAGATGTGCACGCATGAACACATCAACATTGAAACAGATCAGCAGCAACATGAAACAGATCAGCAGCAACATGAAACAGACCAGCAGCAACATGAAATGGTTTTTCACAGTGATTATTCTAGTTAGAGATTCATGAGTCCAACAGCCTCAGGGCAGAAGCTGTTCCTCAGTCCAGTGGCCCTACACCCAACGCCCCTCAACCTCCCTCCCGAGGGGAGTGGGGCAGAAAGTGTGTGTGCTGGGTGAGCGGGGCCCCCCACGATGCAGGTGGCCCTCCTCCCGCACCCGGAGGTGTAGATGTCTGTAATGGAATTGCTTCAATTCTTTGCTTTCGTCATACATGTAGGTCAGGACCGATACTCTAGTTAGTATAATTTTGCCTCAAGGGTGCCTGTAGCTTAAGAAAAAGTAAAGTTGTCTGTTGGGGGTATGCTGCATCATTCCTTAACGTCCCAAGTGCATATATGTAAATTGCCTTTAGCAATACAGAGAGCAGTACCTATCCTCCTGTGGGTTGTCATGGAAATAATATTGGGTTTAAAAATGCATTTAAGTTCATTTAAAGCATCAACTGTCCACTAAAATCAATTTTTTTTTAGTATTTATTTTTTACAGAGTGTGCAGTGGGATGAGTTTCAAAATTTACCCCAGGAGCTGTTTTTTAAGCAGGCTTTGAAAATGCTCAAGTTAATGTATATTTAAACTATATAAAACCATTTGTGTACAGCCCACATAAATAATCCAATAAAAGAAGAAAAAATAGTAAAAAAAAACAACGACTAAGCATGAAAGACAACTATGTAATGCACATTGTACCACTGGTGTTCATCTCATCTCAGTACAATCAGAAGGAAAAGGGGAAGTCAACAACTAAGGGACTAGCCTAATTTGAAACATCTTGTCTTGTACATTCAGACATGCAGCTTTCAAACTGACACTAACTGGATTTACTGCATCACAGGTATTTCAGCTTCACCAGTTGCAGCATGTTAACTTGGGTCTTTTTCAGAGGAGGTTTGGCCATGACTGAGGTAGACTCAGACATGTCTGGGCATGTTCAAAGTGAAGGCGTTTATAAAGAGCTTCTCCTCTTCTGCCTTTCTTTGCAGTCCGAAATTTTGACCGGTCTTCTGTGAGGAGCCGCTCCTTCAGGAGGTTGAATCGGGCGTTCAGTGTTCTACGGAGGACCAAGAGTGGCACTGCAGTCAGCAATGAGACGTCTGAGGAGAGGGATAATGCCAGGAATTCCAGTGTGCCTCCAGAAAGTACGGATCAAAGCTTTTACATCAATCTTTTTGTCTCCTAAATGTCTCTGGAGAGAGTTCCAGAGAGCATATTGTGTGTGGTGTGTGCATGTGTGTCCAAAATGTTTGTATTCGCAATGTTCCCTTGGTAGTGCCAAGAAGGTGACATGGCTTAGGGCCCGTGGTGCAACAGCAGCATATGTTTCTTTAATAATTCAGCTGCAGATTGCATAAGTGTGTTAGTGCATCACTACAGACAGTTGAGGAGGGAGAGCTGCGGCCCCGAGGCACTTTATACTGATGGAATACCAGAGGTCACAGAAGGCAGATGACGTTCTTAGAGATGGGCTTTACGGCTCTTTAACGGGAGTCACATCTTGAGGATTGACTTTTTTACAGTTACTAAAGACATGTTTAAAGTCAGCGTTTTGCAATGCTTTGTGGTTTAGCTAGTATCATACCTAATTCCAGTTCATTAAACAGTGTTCATATGGACCTATGTTTCTGCTGTTCTCTGCAGTCATTCAGACATACGGCAACACGGGGAGCACGTTGTGCTCACAACAAATATGTTTGTATATAAAGGTCGGTAAGAAAGCAGGTGTAAAATACCAAAACAATAGAGTTGAACACTGACCTGAAGTATCTGTGTTGCTATTTAGTGTGTGGTGCTCAATTTTATGCATGCGCATTAGTAACTGTAAAAATGTCCATTCAGTTATTTCAAAAAGCCGTTCAAATGGTCCAGTCTTTTGAACGGTCAGACGCAAGTTATGGCCGGTGAAGTACTACAGTCTTTACTACATTGTACAGTGCAATAAAGACGTCACTACGTATATTTGTAGCAACATGTTGCTATAGCTGCACATGCTTGTCTAGTGCACAACCCCCTCTTCCTCTCTTTCTGAGTGCATATTTGCCAATCACAATAAGTGCTGTGGTCTGCTTGTTCTTCTTCATCACAGAGAAAGCGTGCGCGTGTTTGCATCTGTGTGAAACACTAACAAAAAAAATGGCTTGCAACTCTGCGACTCAATTTTCATTGTTTTAAACAGCTGTTCTAAAGATTCATTTAGTTTGTGACTGTCACATCTGATTATCCATTTTTTTGCCTCAACCTCCAGTTCTTTTCTTTTCTCTAACTCCTCTTCTTTCTGTCCTCTCCTATATTCCCATCCTTGCCTTTTCACCTTCAGTCTTGCATCAATTGGATTAAGTAGTCTCCAAAGAGCCGTACTGTTTTAGACACGAGACGCTCTACAGTATAGAAAACAATGCAAGATGTAATATCTAACATTCAAGTCTTGTCATGGCAAAGTGGATGTAATATAGTCAGCCATAACAGAGCATTACATTGAGTCAGAGCTGCAAGAAACTGCTATTGCGTAAGAATTGAAGATGACAAATGAATGGGAAGCGGATGATTTTTAAATGCCACCAATGCGGAAGCTGAGTGAATAGATCAAATATTCATTGCCTGCTGCTGGAGCAACAGCAAGATAAATGAAAGAATGACGTAGAGTAGAGGTTATTTAAAGCAAATTGCAAAAGGTGGATACATAATTTGCTGAAAATAAAGTGAAGACTTTTAAAACAGATTTTAAAGGTAATGTATGAAAAACTACAGAAATGATAAGCAGTGGGGATAAATAAAGGATACATACAGGTAAATGGACTGTACTTATATAGCGCCGTTCTATCTTATTTCAAGATACTCAAAGTGCTTTACACTACAATCTGTGTCCTCATTTACCCATTCATACAGCTCTATACTAGATCTCTACAAAGCTAATTGAACAAATCATTCTAAAGAGACTAATCAGTGCTTTTAGATCACATTCATACACTGATGGGACACACATCAGAGGCAGTGTCTTGCCCAGGGACACTTCGACATGTAACTGCTGATGGATTCGAACACCGAACTCTCGCAATGGAGGACGACTGCTCTAACCACTCAGCCACAGGTCTTGGTTAGAGCTCAAAGCTCTTCAATGCTATGACATTGTCAGGTCTCTCTTGTAAATGAGTCCTCGAGGCTCAATGGGATTGACCTGTCTAAATAAAGGTTGAACGAATGAAAAAAGAATGATAGACTCCAAATATTGATTGGAATAGAGTGCAAAACCAAAAAGAATAAACAGCTGAGCCGTCATCGCTCAAAACAATAAGGGAGATAACCCGCCAAGGAATAAGTGAGGAACGAGATATTTTTCACAACAAGAAAGAAATAAGATGAAAAGCATGTCTTTGCTCTGTCAGTGACTGGGCAAGTCACCAGGCCTAAAGGCACAGAAGGTTCCCACCATTCTTCCAATAAAGCCCAGTTCAGCATGTGGAAATCACTGCTGTATCAAAGAAAGGTTGAAGTTTACGATGAGATTTGTAGGAACAGGAAATTATGTTTTTATGCTTATTCAGCGGGATCCTTCGTGTTGGTTCAGCTGATTAGGTTTGGATCAAATCAACAGATCAACGTTCTCGGAGCCTTTGAGCTCATGTGGCAGAGATTTTTTTTATTGCTATCAAAATAAAAGCTCACATCTTTCAAGTAACATTTCCACAGTGCAGTGATTAAAGTAAAATCTTAAAACTTGTGTGCAATATAATGTTTGGGCTCCACTCAAGTCATTGCTTACTGAAAGTTTTCCCGAGCATACGTACAGATGTTCTGTAGGTGACTAATGATATAAACATCATGGAGGATAATCAGCTGAGGACAGTCTCCCTCTCGAATTGTATGAGTTTGTTTTTCTCAAGGAAGGAGACTGCTGGTTTCACTGCTAAACCACCACAGTTTACTACACTATCCTGTTTCCTTTCTCATTGCTTTCCCCTTCCCTCCCATTCTTCTGCTGTGTCTTCATTATTCTTGAACAGTAAAACTAAAGTCAGCCTTTTTCTTCTTCTACTTTCTCCATCAGTGCTTGCTCTCCCTCAGTTACATCACCTGATCCCCGATGGTGAAGTTACCAGTATTAAAATCACACGACAGGATCCTTCAGATCCTCTGGCCATTAGCATTGTGGGCGGCAATGAGACCCCTCTGGTCCGCATCCTCATCCAGGATATATACAGAGAGGGTGTCATAGCTCGGGACGGTCGCTTGCTGCCTGGGGACATGATTCTAAAGGTAACAAAAAGAGTTTCTCTGAATAAAAAGCAATCCAAGTAATGATGTTTGGTTTTTAAAATTAGGCTTTTTTTCTCTTTCAGGTAAATGGCATTGACATCAGCAACGTGCCTCACTCCTTTGCAGTGGCATCCCTGAGACAGCCCTGCCAACTCCTGCGGCTAACTGTGCTCAGAGAGCAACGCTACCGCTACCGCTCACACTCCCATGGCTATCCATACAGTCACGGCCATGATGCCGCTGGGGGCCACCAGTCACACAGCCTCTCCCAACAACTGAGAGATGACAGTATTCATGTAGTTCTGAGTAAAAGCACTCCAGATGAGCAGCTGGGCATTAAGCTTGTGCGGCGGGCGGAGGAGCACGGGGTCTACATCTTTCACCTGCTGGAGGGCGGCCTGGCGGCACGTGATGGACAGTTGTGCATTGGTGACCGCGTGCTGGCCATCAACGGGCACGACCTTCGTTATGGGGCGCCAGAGCACGCTGCTCTGCTCATTCAGGTCAGTCTGCAGGGACCACAGGAAATGCAGCAGGCTTTATTATTTCACAGAAAGTTCACAGTGGTGACAAATCTGCCTTAATGCTGTTACAGACCACAAACGACTGAGCTACTCAAAGTCCCTAAGGCATTAAAGATAATTGTGGTGGTTCAAGCTAATTTTGTGCTGCGCTGTTGTGTCTGCACTCGCTGCAGTTAATAGTGTTTAATTGCGGAGACTCCCTGACGCACTGGACTAAGCTGCTGCCTCTGGTTCCTGGTTGATGCAATGATGGCGTGTGTTCAGTTAATAGTGGTTAATTACTGTGAGTTTGAGGCTGGCTGTGCAGGGTCTTCAGGCTCACAAGTCCTGTCTAAGCAGTTTGACTGGCCCTTCTGATCTCTGCGGAGCCAAGATGGCCTCTAGGAGCAGCCACTTACTCTCAGAGATTAAGAACTGGAGGGAAATAAATTTAATTAGTCCAATTAGGCCAATAATGGCCTGGATTGGTTAATTTCGAGCTGTTAGACAGCAGCAAAAAGAAATCTCCAGAGGAATCTCAAAGCAGGAAGGTAGAAGCAGCCATGCAACATGTCTGGCTGTGAGACAAATCACATGTGAATGTGTGATGAACCAGCAGGACAGGAGCGGGAGTGTGAATTCACCGAGCGTGGAGAACAGACTTTTATTTGGTGCCCTATCTTTAGAATTTCTCACCCAGCAATAAAATACATCACGTACAGATTTGCACCTTATGTTACAACTTTTTGCTGTCTTTTTGCTTTCTTTAGGCAAGTGAGCAGAGCGTTCACTTCGTAGTGTCTCGTCAAATTTGCCTGCCCACACCAGACATCCTACAAGAAGCTCCATGGGGCGTGGAAGGTCCCCCGCCATATTCCCCCGTAGACATGGAGCAAACACTGCTGGTGAGCAGCGCACACACACGTGACGTGAACACCGTTAATGCACAGAGAAAAGATGTGTCCTTGTGAGAAATATTCACTTTCAGCTGCAACTAATCTGTGCAGGCATTATTCTTTCATCAATGCCAAGCAAGTCATCCAGGCAGGACAACAAGAGGGTCTCCTCCGTTCACTGCGTTGCAGCATCCATATCTTTATTTTACACACACACGTCTTGATACCCCACCATGTTCACTTATCATTCATAACCTCACTCGGAACGGTTGCGGTTTTATGCATTTCTTTTTAGTTATTGTGCTCTAACAGAAAACTGAGAAAACCTCCTCGTCATCCATTTGACAGTTTGAGTTTGATGTTTAGATAGAAAATATGTGCAAAGTTGTATAAGATTACAACTTAAAATGAATTGAGAATGACATGCCAGTTTGCTCTTTATCAAAATCATGAAGAATCGCTAAAGCCAGCACCCAATTTCTTGCGGGATCAATAAAGTCCTTATCTTGTCTTATTATGGAGGACTGTAAGAAAAATCAATCATATGATGCTGAAAACTAAATACACTAATGCCTCTCATCATCTGTGGAAAAGATGCAGAATGAAACCACTTCTGAAAATGCTAACACTCCCTGACAGCTGCCCTAAACTTCAAGGTAATAAAACTCCATCATGTAGTTATGATTAAATCCACTTGTGCAAAGCTTCTTAAACAAAAAGCATGACTAACCTCTCCGTAGCTGATTTAATTAACTTTAGGCTGTTGCACAGAATTGCTTAAAAGATGTCATGTTTTGCATGACTGTTAAAATTCTGCTCAAGCAAAGTGCAGACGAATGCAAAGAAATGGCACCCAAGATGATTTTATCTTTTTTTCATTCAGCCTTTATTTATACAGGTTAGTCTCATCAAGTCATGAGGATTCATTTTCAAGAGAGACCTGTTTAAAAAAAAACACACACACACAGAGATGAGGTAAACACAACAAGAAACAGTCATAAAAAGCATATAAAATGAAAAGTAAATACAAGTAGTGATGTAAAACAAAATAAAAACAAGCTACATTATGAAACAGGGTAAAATACTAAAAACATGTCTGCAATGATTTTTGCCATGACATTAGCAGTTGTTTAAAATCCCTTAGAGAGGTCAACGTGGACAGTGTCAGATCTTTTTGCAAGGTGTTCCAGGAAACAGGAGTGGAGAATGAACAGGCCCTTTTGCCTAGTTCAGTCCTCACTGAGGGAATGCTGCGTGGACCGTATTTTTTGCCATAAACGTTGCACCATCCTATAAGTCGCATCAGTCCAAATATGTCTAATAAAGTGGAAAAATCCATAACTATGTTGCTTCACCATATACGCCGCATCAATTATGCGTCACCGCTGACAACCCAGAAATGTGGGCCGGTGTTGTGCCAAAAATCGATTGGCTGCCAAATGGCGGCCGCAGGAGCGTGCACGGGAGGACTTTAACAAGAATTTAACAAGATTAACACTTAAAAACAATTATTTTTTGCTCAAAATTATGAGAAGGGGTTCTCTGCAGACCAAAAGTGGGCGTTTCTGGAGAATAGGCGTTTCTGGAGGGTAAACACTGATTGTCTAACTGTATTTGCTGCTCTTTAGTTAAGTTACGTCAACTCTTTTTTTAAACTGAAGGTTTCTAAGAAGGCAGCACAGTGGTGCAGCTGGTAGAGCTGCTGCCTCTCAGCAAACAGGTCCTTGGTTCAAACCCCGACTTTCTGGGTGGAGTTTGCATGTTCTCTACGTGCATGCGTGGGTTTTCTCCGGGTGCTCCAGTTTCCTCCCACAGACCAAAAACATGCATGTTAGGCTGATTGGTAACTCTAAATTGTCCCTAGATGTGAGTGAGAGAGTGAATGGTTGTTTGTCTCGTTTGTCTCTATGTGTCCCTGTGATGGACTTGTGACCTGTCCAGGGTGTACCCCGCCCCTCACACAGTGATTGCTGGACATGGGCACCGGCGACCCCCGTGACCCAAAATGGAATAAGCGGGTAAAGATAATGGATGGATGGATGGTTTCTAAGAAGCAGCATTATATCTACTGTCAAACACAAGAAGGTTCTCTTTTGTTCTTGGTTGTAGCTGCACCTGACACAGTTGGTTTGAGTGTGGTCTGGGTACAATGAAATATGAAGCATCTGAAGCCAAACCTGCTCCTATTTGTCAAAAAGTCTGATCTCAATTAAAGATCATGAGTCCTGTAACGAGATAATGGCCCAAATCAAATGCTAAAAACAAAATTTACTGTTTAGAAGTTCTTCTATGAGATCTGATCTATGAAAGGAGCTGAAACATGGAGTAGGACTGACCCTTAAATGTGAGACAGCTGAGGAAGTTAACCAGTAAACAGAATACCTGCTCCAGTTGCAGAAATCTTACAGAAACTGACCATCACTCACTGATTTAAAAGTTGAACAAGAAAATGTGAAGTTAAAGGAAACATCCTTTGTCCCTAGGTCAGTTTAATTATCATTATTATTTTGGTTACTTTATTTTTCTTTATTTATGAATTGATTTCAATTACTTTCACATTTTTCAACAACCAAAATGGATTTTGTTTTTTTATGTAATGGCTAGGTATTAAAAAACAAACATTTAGCCCTCCCTACTACCCAGTTATGTTGCTCTTGTTTTGAAATGTAACTGGAAGTTAAGTTAAGAGTTGTGTGTTAAGAGAGGCGGAAAGAGAAGTTATGGAGATGCCGCTAATGTTGAACTGGTTAACACCATAGACATAATGTGCCTGTGGTTAACACAATCTGCCAATAACGCCTTTTATTATTATTTTTTTGCCCAATCAAATGTGGCCCTGCAGATATACCTTTTTTCTTATCGTCCAATAAGATGTGGCCCTCCTGATACGTCTTCTGTTTTTGTCTGCAGAGATACCTACTTGGAAATTATAGCAGTGTTTCTCAGTTTAACTTTTCCTTAATAAATGCACTGTGACGGTCAAATCAGCTGTATTTTCAAAAGCTGATACATAGAAGTAAGTGTGTGCACGGGACGAGTCGCTGTGCAAATTTAACAAGATAACCACCTAAAAACAATTATTTGTTTGCTCGACCTCATAGTAAACATGTGTGTTAGTCTAACATTTGCTTAATAAAAGGACTTTAACGGTCAAATCAGCTGCATTTCAAAAGTATTTGCTGCCTCGGTGCTCCAGGAGCGTGCAGACAAGGAGGAAATCAGGAAGGAGGAACGCTGCGCATTTCTTAGAAATGTAACAAGCTAAGTACCCTGATGCATACCCTGATGCATGCTCAATAATCCAGGTAGAAGATTTAAAAAAAGTGAAGTCAGGTTCTCTGGATGGGTGAATAGTAAGCAGCCATCAGGGTGCATCAGGATCCATTGTTAGTCTAAAAAAGCTAAGTCTTGTCCTCTGGACGGGTTCAAAAAACAAAAAATTGTAGAAACGTTTCTTCTTTCATCTGAAAGACTTCTTCAGTCTAAGGAGCTGTATTCAGCTCAGTCTTATAAATAGCACCTTCTCATAGTGCAGTGATCCTCACTATTTTTTTCAAAAGAGCCATATTGACAGATCAAAGTCAAGAGGAGAGTTGTGATACCACCCCAAGTCACTCAAATAAAAGAAAAGAATGAAACAACCCACCTATGAACAAACGAGAATCACAGCCAGCACATTATCTGTTTAAACAAAATGCACGTCAGTACTGAGATGAGAAGCTGCCTGTCCTTTGTAATTTGTTGTTGCAGACACAGTGAGACATTCAAGATGGGCATGGGTCAGTCACTTTCTCTGTTTTCACTTGATGGTGTTCATGGTTGAAAATGTAGACTCCCACGTGTAGAAATTTCAGCTTTTAGCTGTTACCCCAGTCCCATGAAGAAAGCACAAGTCAACAATAACAATGATTACCAAAGTACATGCTCAACAATGACTATTATTATTATTATTATAAAGTTTATTCATTTTTTTAAAACAAAACAAAACAAAACAATTTTATATACAATAAGAAATACAATCACAAATAAAATGAAAATGGATATGCTGTAATATGTGTACGGACGAAGGTGCCCTCCTTCACATTTCCGCCTGCCCCCTCATGTAACCATGTCTAGAACCGGCCCTGTAAGTTGCTCCTACTTCCTTCACCACAGATGACAGCAGGTGCGGAGACGCGCACGGCCGGTAGCTGATCCATCTGAGATTAACAGGACGTTTTTTACGTCTTTGATCTGGGATCTCTCTGTGTGGAGTTTGCATGTTCTTCTCGTGCTTGAATCGATTTTCTCGGGGTACTCCAGTTTCCTCCCACAGACCAAAAACATGCATGTTAGGCTGATTGGTGACTCTAAATTGTCTCTAGATGTGAGTGAGAGAGTGAATGGTTGTTTGTCTCGTTTGTCTCTATGTGTCCCTGTGTTGGACTGGAGACCTGTCCAGGGTGTCCCCCGCCCCTCTCACAGTGATTGCTGGACATGAGCACCAGTGAACTCTGTGAACCAGAATGGAAGAAGCAGGTAAAAGATAATGGGTGGATGGAAATAATTGTGTAATGCAAAACTAATTAATAAAAAGGTTTATATAATAGTTTTTGCATAAAACGCTATAAATTTTGCAGCTTGTGGTTGTTTTAAGATGGCAGTTATCCACTTTGGTCCTGACATTTCTCACACTAACTATTAGCTCATTAATCTGCTCTAATTTAATTCTGTTCTCTAAAGTGAGGTTGTTCAAAGCACTAACTACAACAGATCAAATAATAATTGTTCATAAACTTTCCATAAACCCCCCTTTATAAGATGCAAACTATTCCTTTAAGGTGCTTTGGGCAGCTGGCCTCATTCCTTCATAACTCATGAAATCATAAAATTGCATCAGCTGGTTATTGTGACACTACAAGTGGCTTGTAATTTGAAGGCCTGCTCGCTTAACCTAGCATAAAATTTGGAAATTTAAAAAAGCTGCTTTGATTCGGTCGGAAAGTGAGTGAACCTCCGAAGCTCAGTAAATATCAGTGATGTTCATTTAAAAACCAGCACAGAGGGAAGTAGAACACGTGGCTCACACACCCTGTGCAGTGTGTAGGAAGCGGCTGAATGTGGCCAGTTTGAACACAGCTTGAGTCGGTGTCGTGCCCTCGGGTCAGTAACGTGACTGCGAGTGATCTGCTGTGAGTGCAGCAGGAATGTGTGAATGCAGCACATTAGCAAAGCTGCATCAACCTCAGTGTGTCCAGTGTTATTCATTACTGCTCAGCTCTCCCATATCTGACTCGCAAGTACTCACTAAACAACATCACTGTCCCTCACAACCCCCTGAAATGCACCATACAGCAACAGTGCAACACCTGTGTGTGTTGTTTCTCTTATCGACCATGCATGAGCACCGCAACACTTATGTTAATATGGTAATTTATCAATTAGCGACTAACCATGTGTATGTTATTAGTCTTAGACTTACTTGACTTCCACAATCATCACAAATCTTCAAACTAGTGACAAGTACAGTCATAAATATTGAAATGAGCTCTTCAAAAGTTTAATCATGTCATCTAAGAAAGTGTCCTTGTTGTGAGTTCACTGTGTTTTAAACTTATAAGAATAAAAGATAATGAATGAAAGATGTTCAAGATGACAACATTGGAAGTATATAATCCACTTTAATTATCTTCCTTGTTTTCCTTTTGTCCCCTGTGAAGGACTCTTGTCAGAAGCCTGCGTGCTACGAGAAGACAGTTACGCTCACTAAAGAGCCGTATGACTCCCTGGGCATGACAGTGGCAGGTGGCATGTCCAGTCGAGGGTGGGACCTTCCCATCTATGTCACAAATGTAGACCCTGATGGGGTGGTGGGACAAGAGGGCTCCATTCACAAAGGTATGATCCTTTATTATTACAAATAACTAATTGTGTTACAAGGACACATCTTTTAAAAATGATTTACTCATAAGTATTTGTTTGGGTTTGCTACTTGTGCAAAATCACAGGAACACAAGTCTTAGCAGCCTGTTCTGAACGTGCTTTTCTTTGGTGATGAACAAGCAAATTTACCTTGGTGCTGATGTGGATAATTTCTCTGCAGATTTGTTCCTACACACTTCAACAAAAACACAACGAAACATTAGCATGGCAGAGTTCAAGATATTGCAATGTAGAAAAGGACTGTGTGTGTGTTTTGTTCTGCAGAATCAGTCGGGTTTGAAACTGCAAGATGCGCCAGTATCAATTCAGGGCCACTGAGATCTTACATCACAGCTGAAATGCAGGGAAAGTGAGATTTTCCACAAAGTGCTGATTCCAGCAATCCATCTCTTAAGACGTAACAATATTAAGCCCTTCGTTGCACTCAACATCCGGCCTCTCCATCCCCAGCCTGAGGGTCTGTTTATGAGGAGAAATATAAATGTTCCAGTGGAGTATAATGATAATATGAAGACTTCACACAGTTGTCCTGGGGTCGTTGTTTGGTACAGTTCAAGGTGCACATCACTGTATCTGTATGAGACAGAGTAGCAGCAGCTGTCTCTTTGTTTGATTGCTCATGAAAGGCATTCATTTACATTTGCACATCCTCTCAGGGTAAATGTGTCCTTTGAGTTGCTTAACAGCAAGCAGGACTGTGCCACCTACCTTGGCATCACTTTCATTATTAACAAGCTTTTCAAAGCACAGGTGGCCCTTGGTTTCCACGTCTTTGTGCTCTAACTGAAGATGAAACGAGCAGATCATGAGTGTGTCCTGTGCTGTGTTTATATAAAACTATTATCAGGGCAGCAACCATGTCCACTCCTTCTCTTCTACAGGTGACATCTTGTTGAACGTGAATGGGGTGGATTTGACGGGGGTGACTCGGGGTGAGGCTGTGGCCAATTTGAAGAACACCTCATCTCCTGTTGTGCTCAAGGTCCTGGAGATGCGTCCTCCTGATGAAAGCCCACAGGAGTGCTCGCTGCCACCCTGTCTCACCTCGTCCCCCACAGACAGCACCAAGAGCCCCCTGCCTAATGACGACTATTCCCCACAGTGGGTTTCATGGTTGCAGCTACCTAGGTGAGCACCCGCTTACTGTCAATGTTTGCAATTTTTCTGCGCAGCTCATGCTGGTCTTCCTGGCCTCTGCCAGCTGGTGCCACCTCAAATTTTGGCATGACCAGCAGGGAAATGAAAGATCATTATACTTTTAAATGATTTTTTATCACTACTAATGAATAATAAAACATCGGAAAATGAAAGTTTTTTTTTTATTGACTGTTGCACTGATACACCGGAGCTTTAGGGCCACGCTAAGGAAAAAAAAATTAAAAGCCATAAATATTATGAGAATAAAGTCATAGTATTATAAGAATAAAGTTGAATATAGTCATACGAGACTTTTTTTACAGCTCTTGTTTATTTTTTTCCCCAAGTTGGATCCACGACGTGACCTGTCAGTCAATCCAGTAGTTGTGTCAGTAAATGACCAATCCGAAGCTAAATGCTCCTTACCTGCAGAGAGCTGCTGCAGCCCATCAGAGCGTACCACCTTACTGTAAGCAGGTTCAAAGTCCTGATGCTGATAATAATCTGATGCTGATGTGCTAACAGATTAACTATCTCCTTATTTGTAAAACCAAAGTATAACTTAACAAGATGCTCAACATTCTTCATTTTACCACAGTAAACCTGCTTTATCATGTCGGAGTTCGGATAATATTACGACTCATTTAGCGTCAGATTGGTCATTTGCTGAAACACCTACTGGACTGATTGACAGGTCGCGTTGTGGATCTGACTCGTGGAAAAAAAAAAAAACGAGAGCTGCAAAAAGTCTCGTACGACTTTATTCTCATAATATTAAGACTGTTCGACTTTATTCTTGTAATACTTTGACTTTATTCTCACAATTTTATGGCTTTTAATTTTTTTTTCTTAGCGTGGCCCTAAAGCTCTGTCATAAACTAATGCTCCTGTGTCTGTAAAATAAAAAATAAAGTCAAACATGTTTTTCTTGCAACAATTAACTAATTATAAGCTAGATTCTAGTCAGCAGTGCAACTGCATGTAGTTTTCATTCAAAGGTGAGATCCTGAAAGAAGACTTCTTGTTTCAGCAGACTCACTGCTGCATACAGACTCTGAATGAACCTAGTTGGTGATTTAAAGATGCAGTTGAGAGATCAGTGCCTTTAATCTCTTCTTGGCTCCTGTAGACCACTCTACTACTGCAAAGACATCGTCCTGCGGCGGAACACGTCAGGAAGCCTGGGCTTCAGTATCGTTGGAGGTCAGGAGGAGGTTAACTGCAATCAATCCTTTTTTATCCGCTCCATCGTGGAGGGGACACCAGCCTACAATGATGGCAGGATAAGGTATTCACTTAATGTAGTTTGCTGTTGCAGCTTCTAGAGAGATTTCTGGGAAAACTGTAAATGGACTGTACTTATACAGCACCTTTCTATCTTATCGAGATACTCAAAGCTCTTTACAATCTGTGTCCTCACTTACCCATTCATACAGCTCTATACCAGACCTGTACAAAGCTAGTTGAACAAATCATTCTAAAGAGACTAATCAGAGCTTTATCACATTCATACACCGATGAGACACACATCAGAGGCAGTGAGGGGTTCAGTGTCTTGCCCAGGGACACTTCGGCATGTGACTGCTGGTGGATTCGAACCCCCAACTCTTGCATTGGAGGATGACTGCTCTAACCACTTAGCCACAGCTGCTCTATAAAGACATGCTGTGGTGGCTGAGTGGTTAGAGCAGTCGTCCTCCAATGCTAGAGTTGGGGGTTCGAATCCACCAGCAGTCACATGTTGAAGTGTCCCTCCGCAAGACAGTGAACCCCTCATTGCCTCCGATGTGTGTCCCATCGGTGTATGAATGTGACAAAGCTCTGATTATTCTCTACAGATTCAGATTCTTTGTAGAGATCTAGTAGAGTGCTGTATGAATGGGTAAATGAGGCACAGATTGTAGTGTAAAGTGCTTTGAGTGTCTTGATAAGATAGAAAGTACAGTCCATTTACAATTTTACATGTTGGTTGTAAAGGGGTTTTTTTCTCCGCTTTTTTACTTTAGGTTGTCAAAGATTAACTCTTTTTCTCTTTTTCTGTGTAGGTGTGGGGACATCCTGCTTGAAGTGAATGGGAAGAGCACATGGGGGATGACACACACGGCTTTGGTTCGCCTCCTGAAGGAGCTCCGGGGGAAGATCACCCTGACCATTGTCTCTTGGCCAGGCAGCCTGCTGTAACAGTGCTCCAAGCCATCTAGCACTGCTCCAGTGGTACTGACCTGGGGATTGTGAAGCTATAGACTGGGCAGCCACCCTAAAGCTTGCTGTGTGGGAGAAGCTCAGAGTTGTGGTGCCGCTGTGCAGATCCCTCACTTCAAATGGCCTGCAGGGAATTGGCCAGCAGTTTGCAGGGGGTAGAGATTAAAGACTGGGTTGTTACCAGAAAGTTAACTTGCCCCTTTGGGAATGCTGAACTGGAAGGATCCAGGCTGGAACCCCTTCTAACTCATTCATTGTGTGTCAACTGTTTACTGGACATTGTCAGTGTATGGAACAGCAGCCAGTGAGTGGGGTGGGAGGCCTGAGAGGAGAAACAACGTGTTGCCAATTTCAGTAGATATATATTAGGATATGCATTCAGATGGACTCACATTTCTTTATGTAAATGTTGAGTGTCTCAAAAAATAATTACAGATTCAGATACTTGTAATATGTTTCTTTTGTTTGTTGTATGGCCTTTTAATGTAGGCTTTATTCTGTTTGTACTGACAGTGGTTGTCATCTTCATCTGTTGAACTGAAGACACGTTGCCAAGTAGTAGTCTGTGAGGTCTCTCTCTGTTGTCTCAGAAGCTATGGCAAAATTATCAAAACCACTGGCAAGCAAAGATACATGAAAAAAGGATCGATGTGTTCACAACATGTTAAAAAGTTACATTTAATTAGGAGATGTTGTGGAGGCCTTACTGATTTTCTTACTTTTGAGAAAAGCAACTGATATTTCTGTTTCAGTGGATGGCCTGAGGCCCATCTGCTGTGGTTCTATCTGTCACGCTTCAGCCTGTGTAGTCAATCTAATGGTGCATCTGGTTAAAAGATAAATAAAGTTGTTTGGAAAAAAAGAGTTCAGTTTAAGGAATATTGAATAAAAGCACAAGCCACTGAGAATTACACTATTACACTAGAATTATGAAACAACATGCCTTTTGAAAAAAACTATCGTTTTTTTTTTTTTTTCTTTGTTTAATTTTAAAATATATCAGTCGGCCTCTTCCTTCTTCACCTCTTTTTTCTTTTTCCACATTTGGATCTTCTGTCCTTCTCCTCACTGTCATCCTTCTTACTGCTATGGCTGCTGAGGAGATAAATGAAAAACAATTCATAATTATTTTTATTTTATTTATTTTTTGCACTTCCCTGTATGTCAATGTGTGTCTTTGTTGGACCTTTGTGATTGTCGGTGCCTTCCATCTCTTTTGTGTCTGGACGTCTTTTCTCCACAAACTCTTCTGGGGCTGCATCGTTTGCGTCCAGGCTCTGTAGAAACTCTTTGCCTGTTTTGCGCTTCTTCACTGAATTAATATCAAAGAAACATTTTCTCTGTTATTTCCATCTGATACAACAGTTTGAAAAGGTATGGATGCTCTCTTTTGCCTTAAACAACAAACACACAAATGATTATGACTCAGTTTGTTTTTAATGGTGTTTATGTTCTAATTTGTTGTGCTGAGTCATTTGCAACATACGGCCTACACTGAGTGGGAAATCTTGAACTCTTGCATCCATGATATTGTGCATAATGTTTTTTCCAGCGTTTAACTAAAACAGCTACGCCATCATTTCTGAATGAAAAATTGTTTTAGTTTAAAGCATTGGTATGAAGTGTAGTGGGCAATATGCATCCCTTCAAGGAATTGTAGACTTTTGATTATGGTAGCCTCCATCTGGTCTAATATTCAATAAGGAGCTCATCCTTTGTGTTACACCATGCTCTTCATAATACACTGAACCCTTACTTGGATAAATGATCTTAGTTTAAAAAAAAAAACAATAATTGTCATTCTGGGACATGACTGAGGTGTCTGTTACACTTTTTTCTTGTAATTTTATCCCTCTGAAAGTACACATACAAAATTGTTTGCACTTGCTGATAAGATAAAAAAAGGAAGCATACTAATTGCAAAATGCATTTACATTTGACTCCAAATTTATGTTTACTGCATTTTATGACACCACGCTGAGAGGCTGGACATATATTTCAACAAGTATTAAATGACTGCTAAAACAGATCTCCCTTTATTTTTACAAGTGTTTAAGTCATTTTGGCAAACAAAATCTATCTAGATGTTTGCAAATTGATCAAACTGTCCCTGTGAAAAAGTAATATTCAGAATAACAATGTAAATTAATAAAACATCTGGCTGAAACTAAAGATGTCTTATTAGCTAAGTTACAAACAAGAATTATCAGAAAAGTGAAAAATAGCTCATGGGTTAGAGGGTATGATTAAAGCAGAAGCAGCAAACACAAAGGGATTCTCTTTCAAACAAGAAAAAACAGAAAATAGATGGAGAACCATCAGATGACATTCAGTCTCTGTGTTCATGCAAATAATTTCCTTTTCAACTAATGCAGTTCAACCTTCAGCCTTTGGTTTCTATTATGCAGATGAAGGTTGGTTAAATAAACGCAAATGTCATGACAACATGCTCCAAATAAGAGAGTTGTCATGGCATTCATCTGGAAAGAGGCCTGCATTTGTTTTTAACCCAGCTGTGAGACATCATTTGTGGCTCAGAAAAACAAGGACCAGACTGTGACATGCACAAAAAGCTCAGATAGGTTACTCCTGTGACAAACAGAAAATGAGATTTTTGGGAGTATTATTTACAAAAGAATGTCTTAAAAGCACAATTTACAGCAAAACTGAAAACTGATGTGTGCGTATGTGTTCAACCCAACTTTAAAGTCCCAACCGTTATCTGTGGCTGAGTGGTTAGAGCAGTCGTCCTCCAATACAAAAGTTGGAAGTTCGATTCCACCAGCAGTCACATGCTGAAGTGTCCCTGGGCAAGACACTGAAACCCTCATTGCCTCTGATGTGTGTCCCATCGGTGTATGAATGTCAGAGAGTCAGAGTTTCTTTATTGCCATTCACACCTCATGTGGTACATGTGGTGGAGCAAAATTATGTACACAGGGTCCCAGTTACATCCAACAATAAAATGTATAAGAAAAACAGTAATAAGATCTAAGATATGAACTAAGAAAAACATCAACTAAATATACACTAAGCACTCATAACATAAAACATTGAACATCAGCACAAACATGAACATGAGTCTGTGAGCAGATGAGCACGCATGAACACATCAACATTGAAACAGATCAGCAGCAACATGAAACAGATCAGCAGCAACATGATATGGTTTTTCACAGTGATTATTCTAGTTAGAGATTCGTGAGTCTAACAGCCTCAGGGTAGAAGCTGTTCCTCAGTCTAGTGGTTCTACACTTAATGCTCCTCTACCTCCTTCCTGAGGGGAGTGGGGCAAAAAGTGTGTGTGCTGGGTGAGTGGGGTCCTTCATGATGCAGGTGTTCCTCTTCCTACATCTGGAGGTGTAGATGTCTGTGATGGTGGGGAGACTGACTCCAAC